AAGCTGATGCCTTTTAATAACATTTAAAACGGAAAAGAGGCTACCAGAACCCTCTGGGCTGTTTTTATTGGGAGCTGAGTATTATCTGCTCCCTGATTTGCACGGTCAGGGTTTGCGACTTTGCCGCCGGCACGTGATCGCCCGGCTGGAGGCTTCCTCTTTCCCCAGGTACCCGGTGCCATGCAGCTGACCTCCCCAGCGCAGCCCTGTGGTTTGGCCTGCAAAAACTGCAGAAACAAAAGCAGATGCAGGACAGACCCCCCACCCTGGTTTCCTCTTCCTTTTTTAAATTCCTGAAACTCTAGAGCAGTTTAATTTATTTTTGGCTGGTCACACAAGGGCAAAAAATTGCAAGGTGTTGAAAACTGGCCAGAGCAGAAGGAAGGAGCGTGTTTTTCAGCAGAAAAGCAGAAGCCTTTGCTGCTTTTGCTCTTGCTCCACCAAAACTGGTCAGAAGACAGTAAATAAATAATAACAGTTATTAATATTCGCCTTATTCAGCAAGACACTTTTCATAATGCTTTGCTTGCCATATTTTGTACGTGCTAATGGATATGCAGGACTTTATACTTGACATGAAATGATCAAAGTAATCATAAGGGATCCTCTTTTAATATCTGGATCTACGTATATAGTCCATAAACCCAGGGCTGATGTGTGTCTCCTAAATGTTAGGTTTAGCCCCCAGATCTCCTCCAAAAATCTGAAATGCTTGCTGTATCAAAAGGGAGGAAATGATCAAATACATGGAGAAATCATTCATTTGTATTTAACGCACGTAACAAAATGGCAATTTTGTTTAAATGAAATCTGCATTAGATTTGGCCATATGACCTCAGCGTGTCACCAAAGGTGAGTATCGCCTTCAGTTTGAAAATGATGCACCCCGATTTAGGCTGCCATTGTGAATTTGCAACCTCCCCATTGCTCTGGAGAGGAATATGGGTTAGACAAGCCTGTCAACTCCACTGTCCATGATAAGCACAGGACTTAATCTTGGATCACTTCCCTTAGCCCAGGACTATCTCATCATAGCCTTGATTCAAATTCATTAGGGCTGCCGCCTAGCCGCCAAGAGCGTTGCTGCTGGCGAGTAAAAGGTCTGAAAACCAAGAGACATCAAAGTACTTGCTTACAAGCGAATGTGTCTAGGGAAAAACAGACCCCCTGAGAATAGTTCAACAAACCTGGATGACCTGCAGCTAGACTAGATTCAATTGGCATTGATTAAGTTTGAGAGAAGTTACCTGATGCAACACCCATTCTTGTGAGCTTCTGTATTACCTGTAGTTCTGCCTCTCTAACAGACCCCCCAAACCACTGCTTGCTAACTATATCCTGAATTTTGCTCTCTTGTTCTAGACCTTCAATAAGATCCAGAAGCTTATTGAATCTCATTGATCCAATAAAAGAGAGAGGCTTTTATTTTATAGTTTTTCTATTTAAGCGTAAGCTGCCCAGAGTCATTCTGGAGTTACATGACTTCTAAACTGAATGAATGAATGAACATTTGGAGTGATTTGGCTTTGACTTCTGGACCAAGGTATTGATTACTCTTTTGTTGGTCTTTCTGGCGAGGAATAACCCCCTTTTTGGCATGTGCTCAGCTTGTACAACAGTAGTTTTGTTGCAGCTGATCTAGATAGGCTGTTCAAATCTCTGGAATACAAGGGAAGTTATCCATCTCTGACTTTAATCAGATTGATTTACACTGACTTGACTTCTGGGCAGTTTATATAACAGCTGTGACCCAGCACTCTTGCTCAGATCGATCCTTCCTTGGTTCAGTAGGCCGAATATGAAAACTTGGAGGAAAGCCCATGTTTCTCCACTACTACACAAGGTGAGCCTTTAATCTGGTGAATCCTTCGCTTCAGTGGCTCACGTCCTGGGCTGGTGTAATGGGATGTGGGAAAGACCTAGGGAGATGGGGGGAAGAGGCACCCGCCTAGCGAATGGTCAGATAAGAGGGAGCACAGCCCACAGCTGCATAATGGGTGGAGAAAGAGGCTCAGAAGGGACCCTCTCTAGCTTCTCAGGCTGTAAAGGAGATGGCAGGAGATTTTTAGTTTCAGACTTGCAAGATTCTTTTAACGTAGCCTTACAATAAAGTAGAAGCAGCTCATCTGGTTGTGTTTCCTGTCTGGTCTGCTTGGGAAGGCTGACATCTTTCTAGCAAGTCTGCAGAAGTACAGATTTCCCGCCATCCCTTTTACATTCTGAGAAGTTACAGAGGATCCCTTCTGAGCCTCTTTCTCTGCCCATTATGCAGCTGTGGGCTGTGCTGTCTCTTATCTGACCGTTCCCTAGTAGCATCTCTTCCCCGTCTTCTCCCAAGGGCTTTCTCACATACCATTACAGCTGGAGAATATCTCCAAATCTGCTTGTCTCCTGCCTTTCCAAGCTCGCCTGGAAGCTAAGCCCTATTAACGGCCAGAAGGAATAACTTTGAAGAACAGCAGGAAGAGCCTCTACAAGACAATGGTCAGATAAAAGAAACCTGAGTCTGGGCCAGAACTGTAACCTGAGAAAGTATCTCAGACAAGACCCTCAGACATTCAGACTTTGTTACTATAACCTTACAATAAAAGTCGTATTAGCCTGCATGACTGGTCTCCTAGTCTGGTCTACCTGGAAGAGCTGACCTCAGTCTTGCAAGTCTGAATGTGCCTCTCCCCTCCCTCCCTTTGAGAACTAGGGAGGGTCTTGTCTGAGACGCTTTCTCAAATTACAGTTCTGCCCCGGACTCAGATTTCTTTTATCTGACCATGGTTTTTCTTGTGGCTCTTCCTCCTGTTCCTCAAGGTTATTCCTTCTTCCCATTACACCCTGCAAGGAACAATGAAAGCATCTGGATAGGCTTAGCTTGTAGAGGAGACAACTGGAAGGAAATATGGAAGATACCTTCAGATACCTAAAGGGTTGTCGTAGTGGACTTAGAGGTCAAAATCCATGGCTAGAACTACAGAGAAAATTCAGGTTAGATATTAGGAGCAATGTTCTGATTTTAAGAGCTATCTGCCAGTGGGATAAGCTGACTCGTGAAATGGTCTGTTCCCCTTCAATGGAGGTATTCAAACATAGATTGGACAGCTCCCTTCCAACACTATGATTCAAGATAAAACAGCCCCCAAAGTTTGTGGGGGGGGCAAAGGAAGCACCTGACATTGTATGCATCATAATATCAGCGATGGGAAGAATGTGTTTGCATCATCTGGGTGTGATATGAAATGCATGCAAACACTGTGTGGACGTTTCTAGCAAACTCCTGTGAAGTTTACAACCATTCTGGTTGTAAGCTGTGGTTAAAGGCTTAAGTTGGCTGTGAACCTAGCCAATTGTGACATAACCAGTACTCCAGTCACAATCAACCTCTCAGCAGGTTTCTTATTAAGCCACCAATTCACCAGTAAGCTGGGTTTGCATAATACGTCCATTCACACATGCAAAATCTCCCCAAGTTAAGCCTCTTTTTCTTGACCTTGTTAAAAGTGTTGTGTGAATAGGCCTTTCTTCCTCTCGGAAGGACGTAGCAAGGATTCAGGCAAGACTCAGCACTTCTGAATCTCACAGACCAAGTCCCAAACGTTGTCGTACATCAGGTGACACCAAACTGGGGAATGCCAGTGCATAGCAACTGTCCCAGAAAATTTGCACCAGAAACCTGGTTCAGCAGACCCTGTTAAAAGGATCAACAAACCAGAGCAGAACATCTCCAAGTCCGGGAAACCAGGGAATCTAGGTTTATGTTTTTTCTATCCCCAAGGCAGAGAACCCACGTTTAGCTCCAAATTTACTCCATCCTCGTCAGGGAAACCACGCTGAGCTCCTGCATTGCTCCACATTTACCTCTAAGCCAGAGGCCCCATATTCAGTTCCAGGTTTACTCTAGATATTACTCTAACCCAGGCAAACCATGTTCAGCCCCAAGTTTACTTCACTCAAGCAACTGAGCTCTAAAGTTCACAGTTAGCCTTAAAACAACTGCGTTTGGACGAGAGGACAAGGGGGTTTGCTCTCCGGCTGGAAGGGGAGGACGAGGGAGTCAACCGCCCTGTTGAAAAAGTCACTGCTGGTTTGTGGGTGGTGGGGGCTGGAAACAAGAGGAAGCAATTGAAAGGGGGAAGAAGGAAGGGAAACTTCATTCTCTCTGACTCAGCCAAACCCAGCCATCTGGCCTCCCCTCCGTCCCGTGTCCTCCCTGCCCCGAGCGAAGCAAGACATTCGTCCCGAGACACCTGGCGGGGACCGTCTTTTTCAGGGAGGTAAGTGATGCATCTTTCATTCAATGTCAGGTTTATTCCCCTCCTCTGCCCTTCTATGCCTTGTTCAGATGGATGCATGCTTCTCGTTCACCGGCTGCTTAGGAGAGATGGTTGGAGTTGGAAACCGCCCATTTTAAAGCTGCCAAGGTTGAGGCACACTGGCTGAACTGGGTCTCCTGTATTTTCGGCCCTGCGAGATCCTGGAGGGTCCTTAAAGAGGGGAGCCGTGTGGGGCAAAAGATCAGGAGCCTGGCCAGGTTATTCAAAGACAGAATAGATCAGGAACCTAGAGCTAGATTCTCCGTGCCTTTGTTAGTCCAGCTGAATCAGTCCAGCTTAGAAGAAAAAGATCTATTTTCTGCTGTGATATAGACGAACATGTAACATAATAAGGGCTGCAAGGAAGATGTGGAAGCAGAGGTTGACAGAGAGCACCGTTAATATTAGAGGGGATGTACTGAAGTGATAAGGATTGCAGTTTATATGAATTTTGCTAAAACCTATAAATGAAACCTATAAATGTATACACGCACAAAGAAAATTGTTAGCTGGAGAAGGTGCTACCAGACTCCTGATTTAGAGGATCCTTAGGGATTTTCCTATGGAAACTTTACCGGTTGAATTTCTCAGCCCTGCCTGAAGTTTTGCTCCTTCCTAAACCCTCCCTTTCTCTTGGGGTCTTTCGCTTCCAGCCTAAGACTGACCCTTGTCCTGATTTCTCTGCTCTCCCTTGTACACCGCTCTGACGTTCTTCCAAAGCGCTTCCCGTCTCAGAAACAAGAAAAGGAAAAAAAAACCGCACGGTTGTGCCAGGCAGATTTAGCACACAGGGGCACACCGGCAGCCAGGTGAACAAACACGAGGGTAGGACTACTGCAGCTTATTTCCCCAATAAGCCATTTTTTTCCAGCTGGCAAGCCAGCCCAGAAGAACTTGTTGCAAAGTGCTTTTTACTAGGGGTAAAAAGATGTTATTCACCGATGCTTGTGCATGATGTTTCAAAGCAGAGGTGCCAGCCTCAAAACCGTGCGCAATGAAGATACAAAGCTCAGGTTTCAGAAATGTTGTGATGGGGACGCAATTCAAGAGAGGCACCCCCCCGCCCCTTGTAATGCACAGGTAGATTTAGGCTTTGGTTGATAGATTGATCCTAAACCTTCAAGGCCTTCTGGTGGAATTGGGGAATGACATTATATTATTATTGAGGTTGGTCACACAGTCAGCCAGATGTTTAGACTGGATTTGGCATTTTTATCCACCTATCAAATCCTTTCCAAGGACCTGGGACGGGCAGATGTTAAAGGTATCATTGCAGGATATAAGCTCTTCTTCTTCTTCTTCTTCTTCTTCTTCTTCTTCTTCTTCTTCTTCTTCTTCTT